AAAGACTAAACTTACTCAGCTGTCAAAAATTGTGGAATTAAAAATGGCATATCATGCTTCAGTTTTCACATTGACATCATATTATTTTATTATCAACCTTTACCAAGCATCAGAAACCTAATAAATTCAGTTAATTCTTTTGGTATTTAGATTACATCCGATTGCACAAGCAAGTGGCTATCACGACTCAATAGGTAAGTTAACAAATCGATGGCGTTTGAAGCGAACAGCACTGGGTTCAAATCCCAGAATGAACATCACTCCTTAGATGTAGATATATCCAACTGATGGGTGTTGAATAGGACGAAAAGCGCGTCATGGATTCCTCAGTTAGCCACTATCTATCTTTACTCAATTAATTCTGTTAAACTTGCTCCAGAATACCAAAGCATTCCAACTGATCGTTCGGTACATTTTCAGTCTTAATAAAAAATTATATATGCGGTTGTGGTATATATGTTTTAAATACCTCTTTCATAGTGCCATTATTTAAACAACTGAACAAGACTATTTAAATATAAAACTGCTGAGAAATAAAGATATATAAATTATCAGTATAGGGTTGCGGAGATTCTTGAGTGTTAATTAATACCATGGATCAATCAGTGTTAAACCATCATTGAAAACTTGAAAGCACTGGGTGACTGCATCTTTTTGGTATGGGACTGCTCAGCAGTATGCGTCCATGATCCCGCATATGGGATCGACGAACGATTAAACTCTAGATCACTGAGTCGTTATTCAATGGCGTTAATGTCTAATTTTAACCACGACGACAATCTTCCATTGTCCAGCAATTTATTTTAACGGTCTTAGTTTATTTTTCGAAATATTTAGAACGATTATTCTCAAATGACGACGCTGAATTAAACCGAGTTAGTTTGTTGGATTTTATCTCTTATCCGACAGACGTGTATTTTAATATGTATTACAGATGTAAACCAGATGGTTTAAAGTCAAATGTTTCACTTCTTACAATTCATTACTAATTTTACAGAAGCTTTATGCTACTTCATAAATTTGAATCCATCAATCTCTAAGTTTTAATTTAATTATTAGCTAAATTTTCTGGATGAACTTCTTATCAAATACTGAATTAAAAAGGTTGGCGTTCCAAGTGATCAGCATAATTTGACCTTATTCAACTGTTATTTGTAAATACATTTTTGAAAATAGTTTTATACACATAATCTATTATTATTGTAGTTAGGGGTGGCCGGACCAAAATGTGGCATCAGTGCTTGAAGTCACTAATTTCTAGATTCAGACTACTTGATTGGAGTCCACGCGACTATCGTAACCAATGGTTGGAGACACTGGGTGAGATGGCTCAGAATCTATCACAATGGCGTCGGTGTATACACTCTTTGTCTTCCTTTAAACTATGGGATTAAAATTATTTCATGTCTTTCTTTCTACGAACTAATTCTTTCTTTCTGTACTGTATCCTTACATAAAATCTTTCATTTATATATAACACCATTGAGTTAACTGCTTCCATGAATCCGGTATTCGTCTTGCTGTACTAATGGGGTGTGGCAACTTGGACCGATGCATGTATGTGTCTGGTCCTACGTTGTAACTGACTGACTGACTGAACGAAAACACAACTAGGGTCAATAGAATGTATTTGAACACACAAATTATAGAATATTTTAGTAAAATCTGAAAACCATACAGTATACACTTCATTTGCAAAATGTCAATCAATTGTCTCAGACTTTGTTGTTCCTTTGTTTTCACATCAATCACTCTCTATTCTCGATCTTTATTCTTTGATCTTCTTAATCTTCTGTGACCAGACATTTCACTTTCTGTTGATGATACTTACTACTTATATCTGTCGACATCAGTAGCATACACCACATTACGACTATTATTGAATTAGAAGATGAAGGTATTTTATTTTGATCTCATTAGTTGAACATGATTGCGTCATGTGAACATAGATCACAGTACCATTAATAACCTAAACAATATTCATGTATTCTTTTAGTTACTATATTAATTTGTTAATCAATAAAACATGTATACTACCTTTCATTTTTACTTATTACCGACCGTTTAAACAAACCGCTTAAATAAAACATTAATACAGATTTCTTTTAAATGATAAATTTAATTTGAAAACTATTGAGAGAAAATGTTGAAAATTTAAAACGTTATCTTTCGGTGATTTTCTTCATGTTAAAAAACACTTGTGTACACCATATTGTTGTTTTTTCTGTATTCCTTCTTGTGTATCTCTTCTAGTTCTTATAAAAAGCTGGATCATCTAGTGTTTGTTCAGAAAGAAAGAAAAAAACAGATGAGTAAAGTATGACTGTTCTGAGTTACATAGATTAATTTTATGTAATAAAATTTAAATTATCGTATAGTTTATATCTATGCCACCTTACCGTATACCCAGGCTTGTATGTGTTCAAGAGGACCAAAGACTTTAAACTGTATGGTATGAGGATAAACTGTTATTTTAATACTGAATAATTTGCCTACACTCCTTTATAAATGTAACTTCGATGATTGTGTACGTATTTACGAAAATTGCCCGCTTCTTTACCAAAACACTAATCGTTTAAAACTATCGATATAGTACATAAATGAAATGACTTATTCATTTATATGAACTAATTAGAATAGTAAATATTGTTCCTTTCTTTCCCCCCCCCACATTGATCCTTGACTGCTGGTTGCATCACATAAGTTGTGTACTTGAAACAAATCTGTCTAATTGCTATATTTCACCTTCTGAAGATCAAATAATGTTTAGAGCTATCATAGTAACAATTATCAGAGTTATTAGTAAACTAAGAATAGAATAAGCTCTCCAGAAGTGAAGATAAGTTTAAATAATATGCATTAGTTTTAGATTTTCCATGCTGATCTAGTTTACAAAAATTTTGATTTTATTTAATCAAATAAATAATCAAAACAATCTCCTGTAAAATGACTATGAAATGGACACTCATTGAAATGAAAACAATATTTGTAATAGACCTATCATTTCTATGAATCAGTTTGGAGTTTTTCTTTACTATGAGATAACCTATATTAGTTTTAAGACTTAACAGTTATCATAATTTAATTATTCAATAAACTGAAAACGGTTTAAGAATTTATAGATTAATGAACCAAATCATCCCGGCCGTTGTTGCTACCTTGACGTGGTGGTCGGGCTTGCCTATCGTGATGAAGCAACCGAGCTATACTGGCTGGAACAGTCATTTCTCAAGGTCCTACAATGCCAGACAGGTTGGTTGGAGAGCGGTAAGACTAAAAACAGATAACACAAGGTCTGAGGGCGAAGTCGTACTGCTGAATGTACAGAGGTGTGGCAGCAGTAACGTGTTTCCTTCAGACAACCAGCATGACAGAGATGCTGCCTTCCCACAAAGACGGGTGGGATTAGAAAAGGTCGACCCTAAAAATGCACACCTCACCTTATCCCACGGATATCCGTCTTCGGCGATAAGCTCTCAACAATTACGGAGCTAACACAAAAATCACTCATAAAAGGGTCGTGTGTGACCGACCTCAAGCAGTTGTCCCTTGGGCACTACGGTTACACTCTCAGGTCACTAAGCCCACCTCTAATCCAATTTCCTTTTCAGGTACCTCCAGAAGAACCTTCCCACCGTGTGAGCAACCGGGAAGTGATAACCGCCCTCATACCTCTAACAGCGCTCAAGACAACTGAACCAAATCATTCAGGTTTTATTAAATAAATATTGAGTACTTAACTTTAGAATTATTTACAAATGAGTTATAACAGTAGAGATATTTTATAAATAGACGATTATTTCTATCGGAAGGGGTTTTGTGGAGATTGTAGGAATTCCAATAGTTGAAATCATGAGTCAACTGAAGCTAGACAACTGGTGAGGAGTCCCACGACAGGACGAAACGGCCGCCCAGTGCTTCCAGGTTTTCCATGGCGGTCTGGTTTCAGTTGACCTATGATCTTAACTATTGAGATTATTTCTATACTTTACCAAGCCAGACAACAAAGATTCAGTTCAAAACTGCTTAGTTAAAATCATTATTTTATGGTATTTATATAAGATAACAATAACAAGGTTTGTAGTGATTACTGAACTTTGAAGATAATTTTCACTTTAGAATAACTTTAGTTAGACGACTAGTTAGACAAAACTAGGAAGAACTGAAGGACGGTTTATTCCCAATATCAGATTCCTTATCAGTTCAAACTAATTATGACGTCAAAATTTGCTTCAAGTACCTACAAGCCTCATGTTTAGAAAATTACATCAAGACAATTGTATTGGTTTCTATTAGTTTCGGTATGTGTTATAAAGATATTTGTTTGTGAACAACAATATATCTTAGTAGATCGATATTCTAACTGTTTATGTTAAGTCAGGCAGAGTTTTAATAGTCGTAGTGTTCATAAACAAAAAGGTAGAAGTATTTGCAAATAGTTGTCTACGCAAGATACTGAATGTTCCTTGGCCGGATACCATCAGTAACAGCCTACTGTAAGAGAGAACAAACCAACTTCCAACTGAAGAGAAAATTTGGCAAAAACTTTGGAACTGGATAGGGTAAACATTTAGGAAATCAATAAAATGCATCATTAGGCAAGCGCTATTTTGGAATCCTGAAGGAAAGAGGAAAATACGAAGGCTAAATAACATACTTCATCAGGAATCGGAATCAGACATTAACAGAATGAATGGCAACTCAAAAAAACTGGAGAGGATTACCTAGGACAGGGTTGAATGGAGAATGCTGGTGGTCAGTCTATGCTCCTCCACGAGGAGTAACAGGCGTAAGTAAGTATGTAAGTAAGTAAGTAAGTAAGTAAGTAAGTAAGTAAGTAAGTAAGTAAGTAAGTAAGTAAGTAAGTAAGTAAGTAAGTAAGTAAGTAAGTAAGTAAGTAAGTAAATAAATAAGTAAGTAAGTAAGTAACTTCAAGTAAATTCTTTCAATCCATACTTCGTTTTATGTTTTATAGCCGATAAAAAAGCATGTAATACATTTTAAACACATATTAATAATAAAAGAATTATTAATAAATTATATAGTGAGGAATAATGCAAATTACTTGACTTCCGAACTTGTTTAGGTAATTTTATTGAAACCTCTTCACCAATTTTTTTGCCTATCATTATAAGAAAGATAAATAGTTTTATATTAAGATAGATAATATAGGAGAAAATGTAAACTTTTTTTCTCATTTACCTTGTCCCTGAAAAACATTTTAATAGTTGAGATCATGAGTCAATTGAAGCTAAACCACCATGGAAAACATGGAAAAACTAGCCGTCCAGTGCTTCCAGGTTTTCTATGGTGGTCTCGCATCAACTGACTCATGAATTCAATTAATAAATTATTACAATCTCCACAAAATTCCCATTCTGACTGTAGTCATCATATGCTCACTAGGGACTGTTTCCAAGTATTAATACCTGAAGTCCTAGTGAGAAGCCGTGACTAGTCGATTTCGATCGGGTCTGTTGTGAGATAGTAACTCACTGAAGACAATGGTAGACGGTGGCGCAATTTCATGGATTGGATGAAGTTAGACATTAACACCGTTGAATTACGGATCAGTGGTCTAGACATTAAGCGTCGGCTCACGAGACTGATAAGTGCTGGGTTCAAATCCCGCAAGGTGGGATCGTGGATGTGCACTGCTGAAGAGCCCCATACTAAGATTAAACGGCACTCCGGTGACTTCAGGTTTCCCATCTTGATCTAGCTTCAATTGACTCATGAATTTAACTATTAAATTACCTATTGATAACTTTTAGTAATGATAAACTAAATTGTAATAAATATTCAATTAACAAAATAAAACCTTTTGTTTTATAAATAGTGTAAAAATTACCTTTCCTTTTGCGTCCAATTCTGATTTCTCTTTGAAAGTCTCGTTCATACTCTAATGAAAATAAAATTTACATAAGCAATAATAAAAAGATTCGACAAGCCTATAATTTATAGACGAATCAATCACGTATAAAATAACAGGTCTCGGATTTTGGTGCGAAATTCACTCATCCATTTGAATAAATAGAGTTTTGACATCATAGCTGATGTCAATTCGTGATGAAAACCCTAAATCTAATTACTAACCTTAACCATCAATTGTAAATCATAATTCTTATTCCTTACACAAATTTATGACCCTCATTTGGTTCTGGTTAATAAGTGAATACTATCAATGTCACTTTGGCATCACTCAAAGGTCGTCCAAAATTATAGTCTTACCAAAATATCAGTATAATCTGGTGGTACTTAATAAAATGTAGAACTAACTAAGCATAATTTCTTGTTGGAAGATAGTATGTACTTTTACAGTTCTAACTCTATTTGTATAAAGGCATAGCTCAGAAGAAAGATTTGGGTGTTATTATATTATTCATAACTTTTTCTGGTTAGCGTTTTTCTAGCGAGTTGGTTTTCTACGGGACGGGATCGCTAACCCTATACTCAATCCTCCTCCCTTATCCAGGCTTGGGACCAGCAGTAGCCCCAGAGAGGCTCCAGGCCTATGCTCTATTGAGAGTAACAGGCGTAAACAAAACATTAAACAAACATATTATTCATAATCAGTGTTCGAATAGGGAAATTTCCATCAACCATTTTTTTTAGATTATCATCAGTGTTTCCTTCAAAAATAAATGAGCTATTTTATTTTAGTCACTTGTAACTAAAATGTGGTAATTTTAGTATTTAATACCTTTCGCAACCTATTTATTCTAATCTCTATTATGAACTATGACCAAGAGTTATTACCTGAAGTTCTAGTGAGAAGCCGTGACTAGTCGATTTCGATCGGGTCTGTTGTGAGATAGTACCTCACTGAAGACAATGGTAGACGGTGGCGCAATTTCATGGATTGGCTGTAGAGTAATGTGATTTTTTTGTGAATCAACGGATATATTTTCTTTATATTCATTCTGATTTTAATATTTTAGCATAGATTGTTTTCAGTAGAATTCATATATTTGTCTATATACATTGATTATTATATCCAACGTTGTATCATGAAGCTTTTTGATGTATTCACTCATTAATATTTATGTACGTATCATACTTAAGTAAATTTCAAAAGTATTTCATTGCTCACCTGGACCTTCTTCATCATCTTCTTCTTTAGGCTTTTTAGTTTGTTTCGCCTCTGTTGGTTTCTCATCCTCATCATCTTCTTCCTTTTCTAAATTAAAAATAATTATAATTATATATATAGTGTTGTTCATTGTTTAAAGCAATCCATAATTTCAATCATTGAGATCATGAGTCAATTGAAGTTAGACCACCATGGAAAACCTGGAAGCATGGTGGTCTAGCTTCAATTGACTCATGATCTCAACTATTGAAATCACTACAATCTCCACAAAACCCCTTCTGATACCAGTCCATAGTTGCTTATTATTTTTCGTATAAATGAAATGTTTCTTAAATTTGTGATCATTGCTGTCACCAGACAGCGTTAGTATTTTACTTCAGAAATTTTCGTATCTAGTGAATAGCACAAAAATCTAAGTTATTATATGTTCGACAAGTTTATTTATGCCTTGATAAACTAAATGTGTATCAGCTCAAAAAGTTATCATATTGAATGGAAAATTATTTTGGTACATCTAATGCAAATAACTCAATTTTATTTTAATTAGGATCATCAAGCTTCTTTTTTGAATGATTACAATGTGGTGTATGCTACTGATCTCGACAGATATAAGTAGTATGTATCATGAATCGAAAGTGAAATACCTCATGGCACAAGGTTAAAAAGATCAATGAAAGTAGAATGAGAACAAATAGTGATTGGTGTGGAAACGAGGGTACAATGAAGTCTGGGACGATTGATTAACATTTTGCAAATGAAGTATATTACTGTATGGTTTTCAGATTTTACTAAAATGTTTTATAATTTGTGTGTTCAAATACATAGGATTGATCTCAGTTTTTTTCTCATTCACTACAACAATATAGGTCTTGTTATCGGCTTCTTATTGCCATAGACTATTATGATTTTCATTTAACTAGCAAGCAAAATTTCTATTATCACTTTAGGTGTTGTGAAGATTGTTAAGTTTTTGATTGAAATCATGAGTCATTTGAAGCTAGATCACCATGGAAAACCTGGAAGCACTAAACGGCTGTTTTGTCCTAGTATGGGACTCCTCAGCAGTGCGCATCCACAATCCCGCACCCCGCGAGATTCGAACCCTGGACCTATCAGTCTTGCTTCAGGCGCTTAACTAAGTCGACCACTGAGCCGGCATGTCTAACCTCAGCCAATCCACGGAGTTGCGCGACCATCTTCCATTGTACTGAGGTAGACAACTGTTTCTAACCTACACTGATTAGCTCCACTGGTTACGGCTTTCCACCAGGAGTCCCACAATGGGACGAAACTCCGTCCAGTGCTTCCAGGTTTTCCATGTTAAACTAGCTTCAATCGACTCATGATTTCCATCAAAAATTTCTGTTCTCTGATCTCTTATATTAATTATGTTAATTAGATATGTTTAACTTAAAGCATATGCAAGACAAAAGATGGTTCCATAAAGAAAGACATCAAATATGTCTTATTATTATTGAGAAATAAATTGTCGAATAAATACATAGCCAAATGAACACAGTAACTTAACAATCATCAAAAATGATATAGTTCATTACACAGAATCATTCACATCTAATATATATTTTCATATTTGTGGCCAACTTTCAACAACTAGATTATTACATAATCAATAATAAAGATAATCGATTGTTGGAGAAACCAATACAAAATTGTAACTGGGTAATTTGTTAATTAAATGATAACATAACAATGATCAAATATTATTACTGTTGAAGTCATCTATTGTTATAATTTAGTTGACTTTATAAGTCATAAATGTTTTCGATAAATACTTGTTAATTTCATTTACCTGGTGTCGTTCTTGTAACTCTTCTATCAACTTTAACTTCTGCTCTTGACTTTCGAATTGTTTCTTCTGGAAACATTGAAACAAACAATTATGTTTTCAATTAATTCTTTCTAGTTATTACTCTAATATACAGATATATATATATATATATATAAATTAATAGTTGAAATCATGGGTTAGTTTAAACTAAACCACCATGGAAAACCTGAATGGCCGTTTCTTCCTAGTGTGGGACTCCTCAGCAGTGCTCATCTATGATCCCACCTTTCGAGATTCAAACATATCGATCTCGCGTGCGAACGCTTAACCTCCCACTAATTTATTTAATAAGACCTGAGGCTTGATAGTTGTATTAATATCTAATGATCAGTTAATATTTGTAACTAGATTGGTGTTATTATAATGTCAAGCATACTTGTAATGCAGAAAAATGTTTCAACTGCAATCATTAGCAAACATGTTCCCAAGGAATAATTTTCTTGAAATAACGATGAAATACATCAAAACTGAATGAATCTTAGCTGAAAAACGCCTCGAACGATTAGAATATTTCAGACCAAGATTTCTTTTATCTATAGTAAGTTGTGTACTACTTTAAATACTGAGATGAGCATAAAATAAGAATCTTCCAAATTTTTGATAGATATAAATGTATTCAGAAGCAAAAGGCGAGAATTTGAATTCTCTTATCAAAATAGGTTATGCTTCCATATAAAGACGAAACTTGTCGGCTATAAGACATAAACTACAAAGAATATTCAGATATATTTGTCTTTTCATGATTTCAAATAAACAAATACATTTTATGAACCCAAGAACGATTCAACTTATTGGATACCTGTTCATGTAATATTTTGTATGAGACCTTAAAATACATCAGACAAAAAAGATTTTTTCAGGACTAAAAAAATATTGCTTCTGAATAGTCCATAGAAAAAAATATCAAAACAAATCTATTTCATAAACAAAGATGGATATTGGCTAGCAATGGGATCCAGGAGGCGAGTTTCATCCTATTCAAGACTCGTTAGCTGCATGTACTTGCATTTCAGAGTTGATGTTCACTCTGGGACTTGAACCCAGTATTATTCGCTTCAAACAACATCACATTATATATTTATCTACTGAGTCCTGATAGTCACTTGCTTGTGCAATGGGGTGAATTTAAATTCACTTAGTATTATTCGGCTTGTATCTTCCCGTTGTTATTTAAGACTGCAATTGATCAGTCTGTTATTGGCATATGTGCATACTCTGCGTATGCCTCGATATTACCTTAATTCACAAGCTTTTTATAAGCAATGATGGATAGTGGCTAGCGATGGGATCCAGGAAGCGCGTTTTATCCTATTCAAGACTCGTCAGCTGGATGTGCTTGCATTTCAGAGTTGATGTTTACTCTGGGACTCAAACCCAGTACCGTTCGCTTCAAACACCATCACATTATCCATTTATCTACTGAATCTGTTTCAAAATATGACAATATCATGAAAATTTCCCATCACTTGTTTAATTATCAAGACCTTAGGTTGAAACTTCTCAATGTATCAGTTCTCCACAAAGTTTTCAATAAAATTCAGACAAATAATGATATTTTACTAGCTATTAACTTAAAAAATCAATAGGAGAGTGCTGGTTGGCGGCCTATGATCCTTCACGAGGAGTAACAGGCGTAACTAAGTAATTTTAACTAAATATTTTGATTTGCCGAACCAATAATAATTGAAAAACTCAAATCTGATTTATGTATCCACATAAAGAGATAATAACCAACTTATCATTACTTTGAAAAATTCACAGTTTGGACTAATATCACCAGAAACCATTACCTTTTTTGTTATTATCATTATTATTATTTTATTATCAGTGTGAGGTTGTGGAGATAGTTGATTTCTTAATTCAGATCATGAGTCGACCAACATTAGAGCACCATTAGAAACCTTGAAGAAGTGGATAGTCGTTTCGTCCTAGTACGAGACTCTTCAGCAGTGCGTACTTAATTAGTGGATATTTTGTTATGAAGTCTTTGCCAAACTAATTCTTGTACGCCGAAATCATCAGTTTCTTAAATTAATTCAATTCTTTGATCTTAAATGAACTTTTTAAATTTTGTATAACTACTATGTTACACTTCAGTTTCGAATTCTAGTTAGTTTCCTCATCATTGTTTTATGTCTTCTATATCTATATTTAAATGATATGAAACTTATATAAACTTTTATCAACCTTTATTCTCCTCACACGATTCATCTTATTTGTTTTTGAACTTTATTTAATTTTCACCTCAACCCTCATATTTTGTGGATTCTATCTTCAAGTGACCTTACACTTACTCGTGTACAGATATGTAAGTTCAATCCGGTCTGTTGGGAGATAACAACTCACTGAACACAATGGTGTACGGTGGCGCAACTTCGTGGATTGGTTGAAATTAGACATTAACACCGTTGGATGCCGGCTCAGTGGTCTAGTGGTTAAGTGCTTGAGCGTGAAGCCAGTAGGTCCTGGGTGCGCGCTGCTGAGGAGTCCCATACTAGGACGGGACGGCCGTCCAGTGCTTCCAGGTTTTCCATGGTGGTCTAGCTTCAATCGACTCATGATTTCAACCTGTGAGATATGTATATAGTCATTACTTATAATCTTTATTATTCTAATATAATTCATCATCAATGTTGACTGTTTCATATTATATGATTATCTCGATGTCACAATTTAGTATATATATATATATGGTTGTGATCAACTAATGGTAAACCATTATGTAAAGGCAAGCAACTGTATCAAAATTGTATGACATTTTTTACACATATAGGACGTACCTGTCGGAGGCACTGTAAAGAAATTTAGTTAACGCAAGAAAAAAAGACGATATTATCTTCACAAAGAAGGTATTTCTACAAGTTTATGCCATTCAAACAATTGAACTCAGTATTGGCCAATATTTGACAGCTATAATGAAAAATTGTGTTTTCCTATTAATATACTTATTTCCACAAACAATTGAAGGGCGGTAATATAATATGGACATACAAATATATATGGTGATTATGTACAGTCATAATAAATTACAATCACTTGAATACTATTATATTCTAGTGAAGATTAAATTGCAGTTAACTTTTGAGACCTAGTAATGGACTAATATTATCTATATATTTTTATTGTATAACTCCATTATGCATATCTATATTCCTCTTATTATAAGCTCCATTTTGACTTACAGACTATTATTAGACGATTTATTGTTCCTAAGTTATGTTAAGTTTATTGATTACAGTCTCCCACATTCATAGCCACTATTTGCACAAATTTTATTTCCTATATTATGGTGTGATGTGGTCTATTTGGCTGGTATATAAACTAAGTATGTTTGAAATAGATGATTCGCATAGTGGAAGATGTTGTTGCCGTTCTGAACTGAACTGGAAAAGCTAGGAGAAAAAAAGGACCAATAAGGATAACAAGTTGCTCATACAAGTCAAAAGTCATTGGTTTGGCACAGTATTAATCTTGTATAAGTCACATTTCGATTGGCGAATAAATCAGGTGATAATTAGCCTTAAAAATAATGTTCCTTATTGAGATGGTGGAGAAGATTTGTAACTCAGACGGATTATTTTGGCGGAGTTTTGTTCTCTTAGCTGGATGGTTTGGTCGTGTGGTTTGTGTATTTTAGATCTGCCGTAGAATCGAGAGAGTACTGGTCCATTGAATTTCGTTCTCCATCCAGCTCAGAGAACAAAACTCCACCAAAATGTTCCTTATTGATATTTGTGACACTTTTCTAAGCTTTACTATTTGTTAATTTTTTTTATTTGATTCAAATTCATTTATTATAGATCATAAATTAGATTCCTTTAAATGTCAAAATTCTATCGTTTAAACTCTAGCGAATAAAGGAAAATTCTATTCTGTAAATACTTACTCATGGACTATATAAATAATTTATAAATTTTAATAGTTGAATTCATGAGTCAATTGAAACTAGACCACAATGGAAAACCTGAAGGTACGGGACGGCCGTTCCGTCCTAGTATGGAACTCTTCGGCTGTGAGAATCCACGGTCCCGTCTCGGGAGACTCGAACCCAGGACCTATCAGTCCTGATTATAATCATCATATGTTCACTAATGACTGGCTTCAAGAGGTGTCTCCTGGAGTTCTAGTAAAAAACAGAGACCAGTGAAGTTCAACCGGGTCTGTTGTGAGATAGTAACTCACTGAAGAGAATGATAGAGATTGAGAGGTCCTGGATTCGAATCCCGCGAGGCGGTAAGATGGGTGCGCACTACTGAGGAGTCCCATACTGAGACGAAACAGTGGTCCAGTGCTTCCAGGTTTACGATGGTAATTTAGCTTTACACGACTGATGAATCTAACCATTAAAGTTATTATAATATCCACAAAATCCCCTCTGATTATAATTTATAAAATACTAAGTACGTAATTAAATTGAATAATTCAAATCTTGGGGAAAATGGGAATCAAGTGACTGACGAATAAAAAATCAGACTAACTAATGGAGTTTATCATTGATGATGAATGTTAATTATTTAATTTCAAAAGAAATTATCCATACGAAAGTGTATCTTTTCATTAAAGAGGTTTTGTAAGGACATATTTAACATATTACATAATTTATAAAAGAAAAATATTATTTACTCAGTTGGACAGTAATACGACTTACCTTTATGTGGTGCTTTGGTAATTTTTATAGTACGTGGTATTATGGTTTCTTCACTCTCGATTTCTGTAAAAACTTCCCATCCTTTTTCTATAATAACGGAAAATAAATTAGGACATTGATTAGTTTCATCCAACTATATACTAGTAATTTTGTATGATTATCACATACCATCATGTTAACCTTTGAGGTGGTTTGATTCATGTAAAATAGTAATAAATACTGATAGATATATGATAAATATCATCCCAGTTATTAAAAGATCAACGTCGACTATCATATATTGGCTATACTCAAATATATGAACATTTGGACCTTGATGAAATGATAGCACGTAATCTGAAGTGGGACTTGAAAGTATTGAGTGTAATTACGTATGAAATTGTAAAATGATACTAATGAAAATTCCCCAAATAACCATTTCAGTCCTAAACATTAATGGGATGATTCAAACAACCAAAACAGAATGAATAAAAACTTCACCCCATTGCAAAAGCTAGTGACTAACTGGACTCGGTAGCTAAGTGGATAAAATACTGGCTTTTGAAGTGAACGTTACAGGGTTTGAATCCTGGAGTGAACACCAGTTCTAGGATGCAGGTGCATACAGCTGATGAGTCCTAAGTAGGACGAAACGCACGTCATGTATTCTACTGCTAGCCACCATCTATTTCTGCTTACATTATTCTTTATATTTTAACAGTTCTCCAATTAATGTTTATTTGTGATGAAAATTAATCTTATGTTGTAGATAATTACTTTCTAATACTAGCTAGATTACGAGGAACAGAACGTAGAACTATTTGAGCAATATGAAAACAAACATATCAATTTATTACATTTCACCTTGGGGTACTGTGAACTGCATTGTTCTTTCTTGTTTGCCTCCAGTTCCAGAAATATTGTATTCCTTTATTGTATTCCAGTCACTCCAATCTATTTAATTCAGAATATATATCTGGTAAAATTTATCTTACCCGTCTCTTCTTCCACAAATGAATTATTTTCATCACCACCAGTTTTTACCTTTAGCCTACCTTTACCACAAACATAAATAATAATATATTAATTAAATGTTGCAATTTATCTTTCATAAATAGTTTTATATATATGACATGGTTGATTAACGATAACAATTAAATGGATTATACAACTCATTATGATAAATAACATTAAAGAGTACAAATTAACAATAGCGTGGTGAATGTTATTTATGCCTATCGACATAAATAGTATGTAACATCAATCGGAAGTGGAAAACTTGGCAGCAAAAGGCTATGAAGGTTGACTTGATAAGAATAGGATGGAAATTCGAAAGAATCATACAAAATGTGAAAGACAAGTGATATGAATTTGAAAATGAAGTATTCAGTGCATGGTTCTCATATTTCACCAAGATATTCTGTTTTTTTGTGTTAAAATACATTGGTTATCCCCCACTTGTGTTCCCGTTCACGACAGTACTGGTGTGGTGTATGCTACTTATATTGACAAATATCAGTAGTATGTGCCACCAATTAGAAGTGAAAATCCTGACAGCAGACAATTAAGAAGACTGTACTAAGGAGAACAGGAATGTAAACAGAGTGTAATTGTAATAATAACAAGAATGAAAGGACGATAAAGTTAGTAAGAGACAATTGGTGGATAATGTGCGAATAAAGTTTTTAATGTATGATCTGCATATATTGATCTTTATTTTCTACTAGCATTTTACCCATCATTGTATAAGTGTAAGGTTTTAAAGTGACATTCAAAGTTGATCGATCACCTCAGATTGAATGCAGTACTGGGAAAATTATACCATCGTTTAAATGTGCTATTGTATAATGGTTGATTGAACTGTAGTATAATTTTACTTCGTAATTTGTTTAAAGATAATAACGATGGGGTAATCTGAAAGTAGATGATAATCCTTAGAGTAAATAAATTCTAGCTTTTATCTAAAATTTCTTTAATTAAATATTTTATTTGTATATTCAAAATCTTTAAAATATTCTAACAATAAATCCAATTATTAATACTTTACTTGATATGGACACCGGATTCAAGTCTATCATCGTTTAACCCTGATAACAGCAGATGACGATAGTTTTATAGAAAACTAATAGTAGCTTTAAATTCACATAGTATTGTTTACTTGAATCGTCCCATTCATATTTGGCACTGCAATTGATCAGTCTGTTATTGGCATATGTGTATACTGCGTGTATTGCTTCGATATTGGCTATCAGGACTCAGTAGCTAAATGGATAAGGTGATAGCGTTTGAAATGAACGGTACTGGGTTCGAGTCCCAGAGTGAACATCAACCCTGAGCTGTAGGCACACCTAGTTGACGAGTCTCAAATAGGATGAAATGCGCGTCTTGGATTCCACTGCTAGCCACTATTCCTCTTTGCTTAAAACAGTAGCTTTCTTTTCAGCGAGTGAAATAGAATAACATTTTAGTATGAATTAAATACTTGTGAACAATCGGTTATTTTAGTCAAAAGAATATATTACAATTAGAAAATAGAACATAAAAGATGTTTTTATCAAATCGCTTACCTGCAGTGACATGAAGATCAGAATTCAAAAGTGTATAAATAAAACATATCCATAGTAACCACTGGAATAAGTTGTAGATAGTATGCATTATTATCAAATGAATATCAAAAATTCTTTTTTTTTGCTACTTATTCACCATGGTTTATATACCATGATTTTCTTTTCTATTAGTTGACTGTCAAATCGATTCCCTGTTGATCGAATGTGTTGGCAGTTAAGTTTTAGAAACAGTTTAACTTTATGTATAAGCATTGAAAGCTGTCCATCTAGTTCTGTCACATTGTAAATTATATTAATTTATCAACTTTTGACCATTTAGTCGATTCAATGATTGATTAAAAGAATTATACATTTTTATATCATTCCATGCATGGTGACTACATTATCCTAAAAGGATTGGGGTAATTTTTACCGTTATTTTTTGTTGTTGTTGGTAATTTGGATTGTACTATTCAACAAATCTATTTAGGGAAATAGTCAGTTCTAGTCATTAAATGAGATGTATTCATAAGCATAGTTATTCTTAAAGTGCAGTGGAGATTGTCATATATTGAAACACTTTAGAAATACACAATCACGTATTCATAGATCATGAATGCTTAAGCATTCAACTATCGCAAAATGCACAGTAATATTCGATCACTTATGTTATATTACCAACTTCTGTCACTTTTATGTTGTCATTTTCGATTGACAGTGATGAAGAAAGACCATTTAATGAAGTACTTTGACTTTATAACTAGAAGTTTCCACTAAGATTTCTTAGTGAACGGATTTGAAGCTGGTTACTGATACCTACAATAATATAATCGTTTTTTTTAAAGGATTATTCATTTGTGAACAATTCTTCTAGTTGACTTATCAATATATCTCAAGTTTAACTCCTAACAACAAACAAAAGTGTTATTACCCCACTTCACTGATGTTGAAAACTATATAGGATATAAAAATCATAGTGTATAAATAATTCAGAGTTATTACTTCTTTTCAAATATCAACTGTCACTGTTTAACATCAAGAAATAATAAGATTTATGAATATTTCAAAACTGATCCTCCAGTGAGTTTGTTAGTTCGATGTAATTACAATGTAATAAAACAAAATTGTGATCCTTCAGCTTGAGTTAATAAGTCACCGCTTCATTTGACATCAAAAGATATCTTATTCTGGTTTGATATCGATCTTTCATCCTTCTGATATTTCTGCAACTTGTTGATATATCCAGTGTTTCACTCTGGAATATAACTCTAACATTTAAAGTTGAGATACATTACTTTGTATAAAGAATCAGATTTATTTATTTCTTATTTCTATTTTTTCGTAAGTAAATGGGAACATCTATCTTATCTTGATGTTACGAAATAATGTTAACGAACACTGTAGCATAAAATGAATTCTTATTGTCACATACTTGATCTGTCGACCCAATAACATACAGGAGAGAACTTGTCTCCATCTAGGCTATGATCTTGACACGGTAGCCTTACTAGCTTGATATGGTGGCTAGAAATGAGTGAGTTCGAATTGAGACTACCGTCCTGGGTAGAGAGACGAAAACTGTCACCTGATTAATTGACAAGTGATAGAGAGAAAAAAGATGGGTCAACTAGAACAAATACTATTTATCTCACGGTTATTTTTGTATCAAAAATCTTCTCGTTCCGTTTTGTCCAATGAATCGATTAGTTTCAAAATGGTAATTACCAGTTATCATTTTCTGAAATGTGATATAAAATGTAAATATTCCTAGGTTGATCACCTTTTCTCCAAACTACGAAAGTAATTGACTTACCAAGTACTAGCTATCAGAAATAATGAAAGGGCGACATTATTCCATTAAGCGGTTCGCGATTCTTATTTTCATAAAAATCAGAAGGATGCCTCAAACACCGTTGACGATATCCGCGGCACCTGAGCTTCATATCGAAGCCCTCACTTCTACGGATGAAGAAATAACAGGAATCCAACTGGTAAATATTACCATCTGTCGAACGAACATGGATTTGGATGCAATGCTAAATCATGAAGATGATGTTGTTTCTATAAACTCGGGATAATTCAATGATTGAAACAAAAACATAGACGATTATGCTCTCGCCAATCGGCTATGTGACTGATAGCCATCTTGCTTAGCCACTGAGTGAAACACTTGAAGTAAGGACTTAGGTTGTTACTCATTGCAATGCTATGTTTCGCTAGATTTGTGGTTATGACCCACAACCGCAATTCCTTGATTCCATTGTCCAATATACGACACGATTATGGAGGTGTAATGAAAGACATAGACGTACAAAAACTTCATACAACAAATAAGATGGTACGTCCATATTTTAGCTGCTAACTGAGAATCTAACGTCTTGTTTCTTTTGTTATTAGGTGATTGTTGAAGAAATGCGAGAATGGGAAGGTGGAAAACCATAAGAGAGAAATGATTATTGGGTTTGGAGCAAGATACCTATAGAAGGCCCTTTTTAAGGCCACGCATAAGTTCTTTTGAATTTTTCGTTTTAAATTTGTTACAAATTGTATCAGTAAATTGCTGTCACTTACATTCCGTATACGTTTTCTGTATTTTCGATGACAGTTCAGTCGTCATTGTGTTTAACGTCAATTATCTATGAATTACTTTTACAGTTGCATCAGTTGCGTTTCGTATTTTTAGGTAACCGTTCTTATGTATCCAAAAATAGTAGTTAGGCGAAATTCTGTGATTGAAAGAAACCAATTACACCTTACTAATGACATTTTAAGAATAATAAATAGTGACAGTGGTATAGCCCGCAGTTTAAACTATACTAAACCATACTGATTCAAAATAGTGAAATGCTTGGTGAGGATATTACAGGCTTTTCATGCACCTAATACGTAGCATCATTTTAAGATGATTATCGGTACATATGCATTATGTCCGTTTTACTAAAGGTATGAAACAAAAACACAGTCATTCGATAGTATGCATTTTTTACATCTTACACATGAACATATGTAACATGCACTAAGCCATGTGATCTTAAAGCATAGAGACATAAGAATAAATTCAGCCAATATAATTACAAAACTTTTATTATCTGCGCTAAGACTAAATTTTATTTGCATTCATCGATAAGCAACATCTGTTATCTTATGTTAACTGTGAGTTAGATGGATTAAACTCGGCGAGACTATAATTTATAGACGAAGCAATCGAGTATAAGTTAACAGGTCTCGGATTTGGGCGAGAAATTCACTCATTCATTCGGACAAATAGAGTTTTGGCATTATAGTTTATGTCAACTCATGAGGAAAACCCGAAATTTAATTTATAACCTTAACCATAAACTGTATATCATAATTCTAATTCCCCACGCTAGTTGGTAACCCTCATTTGGTCCTAGTTATTAAGTGGACACTCTCAAGGTCAATTTAGTGTCGCTCAAATGTCGTCCATAAATTATAGTCTCACCCTTCACTATTACATATTTATTATTTTCAGATTATCAGTTTAGGGGTTGTGGAGATTGTTAGGTTTTTGATCGATATCATGAACCAATTGATGTTAGACCACGATCGGGTTCGAATCCCGCGAGCTGGGTCGTGGATGCTCACTGTCGAGGGGTCCTACAATAGGACGAGACGGCCGTCCAGTGATTCCAGGTTTCCAATGGAGGACTTACATCAATTTTTCAGATTGTTCAGTTGGAAAATATAGGCTTGTTTAATTATTATATCGAAATTAAAATTCGCTACAGCTGAATATCAATTTATACAGTTGATCTCATTCTCATTTTGCAGTCTAACTGACTAAAAGACAGTGGATATCAGACCTAAGTCGAAGATAGGTGTTATTGAAAAGTTTAATTGTTTCGGGTTTGATATTGAAGTATTCGCATATTGTGAATATGTACACAGAATTTTGTTAGTGTCCCTCCAATATGTTTGACAAATAAGTCAAAAGATTTAAAAAAAAGAGAATTCTAACGTGATCAGCAGAAAATTATGAAGTGCAACATATGTCACTAATAGTATATGGTTGTGGAGAACGTCGAGTTTAGATTGACATCATGAATGGATCAATGTTAGACCACCATTTGAAACCTGGAAGCACTGGACAGTCTTTTCGTCCTTGTATGGAACTTCTCACTCTTGCGCATACACGATCTCGTTTGTGGGAATTGAACCCAGGAACTTTGGTCTTGTATGCGAACGTTTAACATCAAGTCTAGGATGAAACAGCCGTCCACTGTCTTCAGGTTTTCAATGATGGTCTAATATTGATCCATTCATAATCAATTGATTAGTTTATTCTTCAGTAAACTGTATGACATATAACAGACAGTAATGAATAAGCGAACACTAATTTCTCCTATTTCAAATAATGAAAATGTTTCGTTGTCATTATGAAATTATCAGAAGGGGTTTGTGGAGATTTTCCACGATGCTCTGGCATTAATGAACTCATGATCTCAGCTATTAAAATAAATAATTATAAAGTTCTTCAATTTGGCATATAACCAAAATAAAGAAGTAAACAATGACAGGTTAAAAGACAATCTACAACTAATCTACATCGAGGTCTATAGAACAAGCTGTGAGCCATATGTGGCGAAATTCGAAAACTTCACTTCTACCTAAAGTTTGTGCTGATGGTTTCGTTCAGAATAACGATGAAAGCTCCACGACCAAACCTTCCTGCTCAAAGAACAAAACTCAATCGAAATTTTTTAAATCTAAATTTTGGTATCATCTTAAAACAACCGGTAATATTGAATTCTATGAAATTATTTTTCTTCACAATACATACATAATTTATTTCAGCCTCAAGCCTCTCCGGGGCTACTGCCGGTTGCAAGCCCGGATAAAGGAGGAGGGTTGGGGATAGGGATAGCGACTCCATCCCGTAGAAAACTAACTTTATACACATAACTTACAATTCCATTTGGTAGTATAATTAAACGAAAAAGATGGTTTACACAGAAGATAAATGTAGATCGGTTATTAATTACAAAAACAATAAATATATATCTATTATAACAGTGACAAAATCATAATACCAATATTGTTTTTAATAGTACAGTTAACAATGGGTCATAATGATATGATAAACTAAAAACCGTTGGATAATATAATTGAATTTTAAACATTTTTGAAGTGTTAGTTAAAATAACACAGCTGATTATGGTGAAAACGATAGGATTTATATAAATGAATAATAGATAAGCGTGAATATTAAAGATAGAGTATGTTCCAGCCATTTAAGGTTGGTAAAGCCTTATCTGATGAAGTCGGTTTGGTTTATCTGGAATTGGATTCAATATTGTCAAGGCCTATAAACCCACCGCGTGGATGTGATTGGTTGAAGAAGTCGTTACCCATGGGTCCTGGTACACAACCGCCATATGGGAAGTAGGGTATTGTCATAAGATATACTTACCCTGGATTAGTATAGCCTGTATGCAAACCGGTAATACACAACTTTTCACACATGTATCCCACGGAATACACAGTTATATTCACATGTCTGGAAGGATTAATGGTCACCTTTCCCTTAGAAACGTGTTTTCCACCACAGACTGCCACCCACATATTTTAAGCATATCACTAGTACTAAGACTTTTGCCGCAACACTTCATGAAGCACCCATAAGCATAAGCAGTCTTTTGGGGAGATTGGTGGTTACCTCTTCCTAGTGTTTGCTGCCATATTATGTCTTCAACTTGAGAAATTAGGCCGCTGATTTTGTTAGATATAATGCATACACTTTTTCAGCTAACGTTTCTTTTTGCGAGCCCACGCGCGCACCCATTGCATATACCTAAATATATGAAATACATAAGCAGAGACTCATGCACTTCGTCCACATTAGCATATACATCGGGCATACCGCAAGATTTAGTGAGCCTCAAGTTAGAAATCAACTAATACAGTTTTTATAACAGAGTGGTGAATTAATCGAATCATCATCGACCGTGCAAGTTAGCTAGCAAGGTTTTCCCTACTACTCAGCAGTGCCGCGAAGAGGTCTTAGGTCACATTTTTTCTGCCATTAATCAAAAACAACGTATTTTTAAAAAACGTTATAGCAAAGATGGATAGTGGCTAACAGTGCAATCCACGACGCGAGTTTCGTCATATTCAACACTCGTCAACTGGGTGTACCTGCAATCTCGGAATTGTTTTTCACTTTAAAACTCGAACTCAGTACTGTTCGCTTCATTTAACTAATGACTCTTGATAGCCACTTGCTTGTGCAATCGGATGAAGTTTAAATTCACTTGGTATTATTTACTTGAATCTTCCCATTAATATTTGGCACTGCAGTTGATCAGTCTGTTATTGGCATATGTATATACTGTGTGTATTGCCTCGATATTGTCTTAATTGTCTTAATCAAAGTCATGGATTAAAATTAGATCACCTAAGTAGTGACCGGTATGCCAATTTTTATTTTTATTTACAAAGGTTATATCTGGGAGGACAAATGGCCACATTACTTTACAAAAGGTTACAACCTACAAGTGTTATATCTGATGATTATTCAATATGTTTTATTCAAATATACCATATGACTTTTTTTAAATCAATTAAATGTATATCTATGTTACTACCTAATGATTCAGTACTACTGTATATCATTAATTTAGTTCACGACATTCACTTCTCCATGGAAATTGACTTACACTCAAAAAATGATTAAATGAAACTATACCTATATAATCAATAATAGTCATAATCATAATGTAATACATGATTGAATAACATAAATTGAGTTTATACAATCGACATCTTTGACATAGAATCATTTGTTCATTAAATCTAAGATAAATCTAAGATTATAAATAGTAGGTTTATACACAAACTATTCATAACCCTTCATAACCAAGTAATCCACAAATAAATAATCATAGCTGACAAAACATCAACAACAACAACAGAAAAGAAGAACAAGAAAACACTTTACCAAGTTACATTTTCTTTCAATTAGAATATGAGATTATCCTTCGTAATTTGTATTACAGTGTATTCTGTAATCGGTATCATTTCAGGTAAATACTATGGATAGTTTTTTTTTCCGCCTTAAACTGTTATAAACTAAAGTAACCTCAGGTTACTTGATATAAATTACTTTTAATTATTTATTTGATCATTGAATAGGAATATATCTCAATTGAATTAAATCTTTCTAATTGTTATAATCATTCAATCACGTCCATAGCAATTATTGTGACTTAGTAGAGTAATGATATAACGCTAGTGGATGGTAATGGAATAATGAATTACAGCTTTATACAACGTTATTAACAATAAATAAATCTGTGTAATTTATAAATTAAATTATTATGTTTATATCTGTTAGTACAGTCAGATGACCTAGTTATTCTATCCCATACACATCAACAAATTGAGATAAAGACAACCAGTGTAATAGTAGTCTCTGAATTAGTAGGCTTCAACATATACAAAGGGAAAGGCAAAATCCTCAAATATAACACGGAGAACATCAATCGAATCACATTTGATAGAGAAGCTATCAAAGAGCTGGAAACTCTCATGTACCTGAGAAGCATCATTGATGCACAAGGAGGATCTGATGCAGATGTAATGGGAAGGATTAACAAAGCATGGGTAGCATTCTTACAGTTGAAGAACACATGAAACCCGAAACAACTGATAGCTGAAACTTGGGGAACTAACACAACCGTCATCAGAAGGGTATGTTTACACAAGATACTCCAGATCAGTTAGCCAGATACCATTAACAATGGCCTACTGTGACAAGGAACAAATCAACTTGCAGCTGAATAGGAAATTAGAGAACGACATTACAGGCGGATAGGACATATATTGATGAAACCACCAAAGTTCATTACGTGACAGACTCTAACTTGCAATCCCGAAGGGAAGGGGAAAAGAGGTAATCCAACGAACTGTGATTGTAAGAAGACGTGGAAAGAATCAATAGAAACTGAAAACAACTGTAAAGTGTTGCTAGGGACAGAGTTGGATGATGAATGCTGATAGTCGGCCTATGCTCCTCCACGAGGGGTAACAAGAGTAAGCAAGTGAGTACAGCCAAGAAAGAAATAATTCTATGGAGATTATAGTTTGCTTAGAAAATAATTCATAATTTATGGTTTTATGTTAATCTATTACTTTCATTATAAATGCAGTCTTATTATTTATTTCACAAAAGTAATAGGAGACAACGTATCGACAACTGCTACTTCAACACTGCCCATCATTTCATTCAGGAATTCTTATTTTCAAACAATATTATTGGTGCCAATGCATGTTGAAAAGTGTAAAATACGACAATAAGCAGGAGGTATGCATGTATATTGTGAGAAGCCACGAAGCGTTTACATGTACATAACCTTCAATTGTCCATTTGCATCTTTTGGTGTGTTCTACCATCTGAATTTTCTTCTTGTCTGGTCTCCAAGTGTTCCGTCACCGCCGTACCTTTAATACGCTGAAACTTTTCACTCCGTCTGATAATCATTACAACTTTAATAATGCGTTCTACAACACATTACTTGTAAACATCCTCGTGGGTAGTAGTATCTACTACGTTAGTTTATAAAAATTGTAATGATAACACAAATTAGAAAATCGCTTGTTATATCTATACAAATACTGAATAAATATATTGAATAATGAATGGTACTGGATGACAAATGAAAATAGGTAAACTTTTATATTTTATAAAACATACAAGAGCTTCTCAATCTTTCTTATGAATGTTATTCTTATATTTAATTGTCACCTTTAAACTGTGTTTATTTTTCACTTTTTTTTAAAATCATAGTGACGAAGATTGATGCACAGACGACTACTACTAAAAAACCACCTGCCCCATCAGGTAGAAGTTATTAAACACATAGTAACAAGATATTTGAAACCAAAAAATCTTATGTTAATGTGATTCATAAATAAATAATACGTTAAAGAGGAAGAATGTATTTGTACAATCTCAGCCAATGAATTCGAAGTAAATCCAACTTTCAGCCTGTCAATCTGATCCAATCTTTTTCATGGAAAGCTTGTACCAGATTGCCAGGCAAAATGTTTGATTTACTTTGAATTCATTCTCTGAGATTTTACAAATATATTCTTCCTCTTTAATGTCTCACATCAACTCGGTGCCCAAATACTGTGAAATTATTCGATCAAATTTAGACGAAAGTTCTTATTTACATAATACATTATTTACATCCATTGGCGGAAAACATTCATTCCTGGATATAAAATTCATTTGATGATAATAGTTGACTTACTATTGAACCTCTCTTCGCTTTGTTTCTTTCTTGTAAAACAGCAGTCCTCATAATTATTTATTTTATTGACTAAAGTAAAAATATAATGACAAAGAATGTATGAACGAACAATTATTTTCATCATTAGGCTCGACAGTTACAAAGACTACAATAAGGCATGTTTGTGAATATGTGTCAAAGTGGTTGGGAAAAGTAGTCACCAAATCTATGAACAACGTTATTCTTTCTCACATTGTTAGATAATGAACATCATATTAAAATAAATGAAATCTTCCCTGTTTCATATCAAGTTCCTAACAACCTATCTAAAGGAGCTAGATTATATCACATCTACATAGGTGAATCCATCCGGATCAACTCCAGGAAATCTAACTTATGTATCCCGAAGAGATATATCTAGCCTCTATGTTTACGTTAATCTACGACTAAATCACCAGATGTCTAAACTTCTTATCCCCCTTCTAAATTTATTTTGTGTTTATATCTTTCTTAACCTGCAGATTCATCTTTCCCAAGTCAAATGAATTTTTTGTCATAATTATATCGATGATTCCTCTCTTATTATATATTATATTCACACAATGTTATTATTATTACCTACATTAATGAGGCCATTTATTTTATTTGTTTATTTGAACACACAAATATTAGTACAAAGCGGCACTAAATACATATGCTCCACACAAATGATTCGATTTGTATGAACTGTGATACTGCTCGGGTGCCAAGATGGAAGCAAATAGTTTTCTTAGGGGGTCACATCCGGAGCTTTCGACATAAAGGTCCAATCCAAAAGGCAGTGCAGCAACATCAGGAGATGAAATCCCGTAGTATTCGGTGACCAACAACAGGTTCATACGCCATTTTTTCACTCAGGATCTTAGAGCCCATGTACATCATTGAACCCGGTTAAAGCGTCGGATGTTCGCTTTTCGTCCTCCTAATTTCGTAAATAATACGTCCGTCGCGAGATCGCAGTGAGTAGGACTTCCCTGGCAGTGGTTATTTACTCGTGACCATGTGAGAGCCTTTCGAAAAAAAGAGCGGACTCTCCCCACTCTCGGTCATACCAAAGCATTTGAGGACTAATTCTCTTACTATACATTTCATTCACATGACTTATTGTATTACTGTAATATAACTTGACAAATTTTTGCGAATCATTCTGACAATTATGAAATGACTTTTCCAATTTAAGTACTTATGTCATAACAGATGCAAAAGTTCAGTACTTTCAAAATATAACATTGTCAGATTCATTAATGCATAGCTTATTTTGGCCTTTGTAAAATATCATAATAGTTATAACTGTAGAGTCTGATGATGAAAACAATTGTTCACATAAATATTCTTTGGTTTTTGAATATTCTATGACGATTTTTAAACTGCTAAAAATATGATTTTGTGAAAAGTTCTGATCTCAATTTTACTATTAAGCTTACCTATTATTTATCTTTTTGGCTTTTTTTTTATAAAAGGAAAGGGCACCGGATCTTTAACGACTGATAAATCGGGAAGATACATTTATTCAGGTAGGATTTATCAATCATTGACCGTTCAACTATGTTGGGTATGAGACAGTTATTTACCACAAGGAATGGAAGATAGTCTTGATATATCGTGATTTAGTTTAGGTTAGAAGTATATACCATTAGATACTGTTTTTGATATATCTGAGTTCATTGTTTTCGCACACGATCGAAGGTCGTAGATTGGATTCCAAAAGGTAGTATCGTGGATACTCAATACCGAAGAGTTCCATACTAGGAGGAAGCAGTTGTTTAGTGCTTCCATGTCTTTATTGACAGTCTAGCTATAGTAAATTTAAGGTATACACTATGACTACTGTTGTAAACGGGAATCATCATATCTATATTTGTACTATAGAATGGAGTGAATGGGAAACCGAGTTTGAATACGAAGCAGAAAGAGAGAAAAGCAAAAGAAAATCATCAACTGAAGAACCAGGTAAAACAGGAAAATACATCTTTTTCTTATTCCATTCTCATGTATTTGTAGTTTTACACATTTTTTTACTGCTAGATGTATTATATATTCAATTGTTTCTTAATAGAATGGGAAATTATCACAGAAATTTTGACAGAAAAGATTAAGAAAAAGACTGAAGTCGGTAAGCTTTTGAATGGTTAAGATGAATCACCATATTAAGAAAATAAACTTCAATAAATTACTATTTAATAAACAATTAAAACTAATTTCATAATAATGTGAATGATCATATTCTAATACTTGTATGATATCAATTACCTGTGAACTAGTCAACAATTAGTATTTAATAATTATTACCATTCATCTTAACTCTCCAGTATACGCACAAATCAATGCACTTCTGAATAAAATGTTATATATATATATATAACACCATTGGATGCCGGCTCAGTGGTCTAGTTGGTCAAGCGCCTGGCGCGAGACTGATAGGTCCTGGGTTCGAATCTCGCGAGGTGTGGGATCGTGGATGCGCACTGCTGAGAAGCCCCATACTAGAACGAAACGGCTGTCCAGTGCTTCCAGGTTTTCCATGTTGGTCTAGCTTCAATTGACTCATGATTTCAATCTGTGAAATTTCTAAAATCTCCACAAACCCCTTCTGATAATGATCATCTGCTCACTAGTGACTGACTTCAAGAGATAGTCCTGCAGTTCTAGTGAGAAGCCGTTACCAGTGTGACAAATTAGAATTATGATTTACAGTTGATGGTTAAGGTTAGATATTAGATTTCGGGTTTTCATCACGAATTGACATCAGCTATAATGTCAAAACTCTATTTATCCGCATGAATGAGTGGATTTCACGCCAAACTCTGAGATCTGTTATTTTATGCTTGATTGATTCGTCCATAAATTATAGTCTCGCCGAAATAACTTCATCTGAGTGAATAAAATAAGGTATAAACTTATGTACAAACGTTTCTAGACAATGGAACAAATGAAAATCACTTAGAATCAATTATCATTAATCAAAGATTGAATACATAAAGAATAATATTCGTACTTCTTTATATGATAATTAACAAAGTAAAAATCAAGATATTATGAATATCAGAAAGACTTTTTGTGGATATTATAGTATTTTAATAGTTGAAATCATAAGTTAATTGAAACTAGACAACCACGGAAAACCTGGAAGTACTGAACAGACGTTTCGTTCTACCATGGGACTCCTCGGTTAATGAAGACATGTTCAGTGTAAAAGTCATTAATATTGTTTGAAAAGACAAACTAAATATTAAATAAACATAAAAGTGAATATTTTTTAGAAATAATCAATAAATTAGAGACAAATCACACGAAAGTACAATTAAAAATTGTTTATTTAAAGCAATATAAATGTTAAATATTTTCTTTCACAGCTGAATTCACCTAGAAGTATTGAACGACTCAGTGGTCTAAAGATTAATCGTCCATCCATGAAACCTAAGGTCCTAACTTCGAGTCCCGCGTTCGACTACCTTATACGTACAGTGTTGAAAAGTCCCATACTAGGACAATTCTGGTGTTTATTGTTTCCAGGTTCTTAATAGTGATCTCGCTTAGATTAACTCATGGATTCAATAGTAAGAATACTACAGTCTCCACAAATTCTCATACTGAAAATACTCTCTTGATAAATCTAACTAAAATCTAGCAATAACTTAGTCATGGATTTACATTACTGTCTTAGAGACTATAAAAGAAATCACAAAGAAGGAAGTTGAAACAGGCATAATTTATCTAACCACATTTTTACACACAGCTTTGATCTACACATGTGTAGATCGATCAACATTCACTTTTTAGAACTGAACTATTTATTCAAATTGTCTTACGTAGTGTATTGTTTCATAAAGAATTAAAGGGGGGGGGTCATCAATTGTTTGATTAGAAACAGTTAAATAGTAACTAAATGATGTTTCAATCATTACAATTTTTTGTTTCTCAATTAACAAATAATGTTCAGTAGAATTAAGAAATGATAGAAATTAATGATTAAACTGTTAATTGCTTTGAGTTAAACCGAAATACACAATCCCAGTATTTATATAGTTAACATTATGAATATGAAGTCTAACTATTGAATACTTTATCATTAATTGATGTTACAGTATGTGATTTTAACTTAATGTTTCAACTGATTTGCTTTCATAGAAGAAGAAATCACGAAAAAAGGAGGCAAAACTGATCCGAAAACGAAAACAGAAATTGGTAATGTAGTATATTTTAGATTCTAAGCATAATTAGGTGGTGGTTAATGATGAAGCACAAAACGTGCGTTTTATTCTACTTGTGATTTATTAGCTGATTATACTTAAATCCTAGTGCTATGGTTCAGACTGAGGCTTAAACCCAATACCTAAAACTTTAAATGCTTAGAGTGTTATTCATGTTGCTACTGCGTCCAAAGAGGTGTTGTGTTGAGTAATGGGAATAAATTTTAATTTATTTGTAATTACAATTGCAATCTTTTAGTTGGTGTCAAGGTTATCCAGCTGGCGAGTCCAAAATGGCACGAAACATGTATCTTGTATATCACAGTTGTACACTATCCAAATTTACTTAAAGTGTTTGTAACTTAATGAAAATATAGTGACAATCTGATCAAATGAGACCAATGAAAATTTAATTACTAACATCAACAGGAAGATTGAAAGAACAATGAGAAGACGGAGTTGATCTGAAAAATGTGATGTATTTGCACTATACATTTCGAACAATCTGGTCACACATATACTTGTCAGGTCATTTTATATGAAAATTAATAAAGGTCAATTAAATGAAAGTTCAAGTAAGAAAGTAACAAAGAGGAGAGAAACAATTTTACTTCGTATAGAAAGAATAAGAAATTATGGAGTTATTCTAGGCTATAGAATAACTTTAGTATTATCAAGGTAAATTCAATGTAACGACAAATTGTCTTTGTACACTTAAGGTGTACTTTCATGTAACTGACCTTTATTAATTTCCATATAAAATGAACTAGATTGTTCGAAATGTATAGCGCAAATACATCACATTTTTCAGATCACCTACATCTTGTCATTGTTCTAACGGAATTTATAAAAGGGACTAATTGCTTTAGACTCACATAACCCTTACAAATAAATTGATATTTGAAATTAATTGTGTTCAACATCTTATTAGATGTTGTTGATGAAGAACTCCGATTATTTCACTTGTGTGTGTGTTTTGAATGCAAACCAGGCATGATGGACACGATCAATGCTGAACTGAAACTAACTATCACAGAAAACTTAGCTATATCGAGAGCATTTAAATAACTAATACGTCTATTCACAATAGTCAAATCGTTTATCCAAAAACTAAGTAACCATTGTATTCCATTAGTGAAAATTTACTACAAACTAAAGTAAACAAGTCAAGCAGCTGTGTATGTATAATGTTACACAGTTGAGCTCTCAATAACTACCTTTAAGTTATACTATTCATAAAACGATTCATATTACAACAAGTATCGTTTAACAGGTTGGCTTTATAGTTAAAAATCTTTTTACGCGTCGATTATTACTGTAGTGTAAATTCATATATGCATCTACTGATTAGTATCATATTATGTTGAATAGCAAGTATTGGGAAATTAATCCTTATTATCCTAAATATACGAAATAATATTCACTTCTGTAAAAATAAAATTACGTAAAGTATAAGTCAGAGTCTATGTATTCAATCTGAGGGTTGATTAGCTTATTCATAATTGTAATTGAATTATGTGATTTCATCTTAACAGTGAACTTACATTAATTTCATAGAGACCATAGAAGAAATTACGAAGAGAGGTGGAAGAGGTCCGAGGACGAGAACTGAAATAGGTAATGAATTCTCTTATACATATTATTCTTATTGTATTGTTTGTATGTAGTTAAATGCTTCTTGTAGTGTAATTAGCTATTCGAAAACTTCCTTAGTTCTCATTCATTCCTGTATAGATGCATTTTAAGTTAATCAGTTGTTAGCTAGACTCTGTATTAAAAACGAGGTGGTTTCAAAACCTCGCACAAAAGTTTAAGACATATAGGCTTCAATAAGTTACACCTAAATAATCGATAGTTTTCTAATAAATTTCAACGAACTGTTCGTTGTTCAGTAAGTAACTTGTTGAAATACCCTGTGCTGAGAATTCTATATTGTACCAAAAAGATAATATTGAATAAAGCCATTAATAATAATAAATAATAATAATAATAACATAATCATCAATTCTTATAATTTTTATAGAGACGATTGAAGAAATCGAGAAGAAGAAAGGTGGAACAATCCCAAAAAAGACAGTAGAAATAGGTAATGAAGTATGTATGATAATTCTGCTATTAACACAACTGCTCTCCAATTTCCTTTCAATTCTCATTATTTTAATCTTTCATTGGTACGCATTTCACTTTCGATTGCTTCTACATACTACTTAACTTTGCCAGCATATAAAACATACACCGCATAATGAATTTCTAACTCATTACTATTGTAGAGAAAATATTAGTAAACTGACCATATTCACTATTGATTTCGTTTAGAACTGTACAACTTTTACATTAGAAGAAATTGAGAAATAAATCTAATCACTAAACTTGAATTTACAATAAATTTTTGGCGAATATTTATCATACTCAAGTTTGTAATTTGTGATCAGTTTTGATCATAATCATGAACACCATACCAATTATGTTGTTTTGTATGTACCTCAGAAACGATCGAAGAGACGAAGAAGAGAGATGGTGGAACAGTCCCGAAAAAGACAATAGAAATCGGTAATGATAATATTCATGCTTCACCGATATTTTCTCAATCATGCCTTGATAAATTCGTTATTTATCATTTATGATTTTCTTTGTATCACAGAAACAATAGAAGAGACGAAGAAGAGAGATGGTGGAACAGTCCCGAAAAAGACAATAGAAATCGGTAATGATATATGTTTGCTTAACCGATATTCTCTCAATCATGCCTTGATAAATTCGTTATTTATCATTTATGATTTTCTTTGTATCACAGAAACAATAGAAGAGACGAAGAAGAGAGATGGTGGAACAGTCCCGAAAAAGACAATAGAAATCGGTAATGATATATGTTTGCTTAACCGATATTCTCTCAATCATGTCTTGATAAATTTGTTATTTATCACTTATGTTTTACTTTGTATTATAGAAACAATAGAAGAGACGAGGAAGAGAGGAGGTGGAACAATCCCGAAAAAGACAGTAGAAATAGGTAATGATAAGTGTATGCTTAACCGATATTCTCTCAATCATGTCTTGATAAATTCATTATTTTCATACAAGCTTCAGTGACAAGTACTTTCTGTGTGCTCATATCTTTTTGTGTTCTCAATTAGTAGACTAGGATTAATGAAGGATCTAATGATAGTAATATTGAAGTCAATAAGTTAGAATGAACTCAATATGCTTGAAATGTTTTAGAAATTGTTTTGATTATTAGACTCTTAACTGTCGGTTAAGACCAACTGATAAGTAATAGTTGATATTATTTTAATTGTATATACACAAATGACTTTTCTCTTTATTACTTCTAAAATTTAAAAAAATTCCCAGGTTGTGATTTAGAACAACATATATAAGCGGTCTATATTGTTTTCGATTAGATCTTCATCAGGAGATGTACCTGTTCATGTTCTACGTGATAGACTGACTAGAGTAGTTAAGAGAATGTTTTATGCAGCCAATATCTGTCTATTGTACTCGACCCTATCTATGGTAAACCCTCAACTAGAGGATAAGTTACCCGTTTATGTTACTTCTAAGTGTATCTACGAATTCAGCTGTTTCTGTGGAGAAAGCTATTTTGACGCACTACTAGACAACTGAGCCAAAGAGTTAGTGAACAACTCACTTCGTCGTTTGGAAAAGTTACTGTCAAGACAATACGCAGCTCGACTCTACCACACTTGATCGATAGCGGTCATGTAGTAGGCAGAAATAAGTCATTTGAAGTTATTTATCGTATTCCTACCAGTTTTCCTTATGGGATTCGATCTTGTCAGTTACATACAGCAAAAGCTATAGGAATTTCAGCCAACAACCCAAGACTTTGTGTTCATAAGAAATTTGTAACGCCTTTATCTCTCCCTCGATCCTAATAAATGATTTTATTAATCATTATCCACACTCCTTCTTCGTTTATTTTTCTTCACACCTTCTCAACGTTTTCTTTTTTTCTAAAATATACGTCTCACTGTCCAATTATCTGAACACTTCTTATAACGTAATCTTTGGATTTTTATGAATGGTAATTCAGTGTCCATATTTTTCGAATCATTGACCTATTTCCGACTATGTGACATTGATTCAAGCCTTTATGATTCTTATCATTACTAGTACACTTGTCATCATACTACCAATTTGTGCTTTTCACTTATCATGTTTATTTATGTAATTTATTCCACTGTTATGATTGACTCATAAACTTTCTTGATTGTAAGCAACGATGGATAGTGGTGAGCAGTGGAATCCAGTATGTGCGTTTTGTCCTATTTGCGACTAGTCAGCTGGATGTATCTACATGTCAGAGTTGAGAAAACAGTAGTAAACTGACCAAATTCACTATTGATTTCGTTTAGAACTAAGAAATAGATCTAATCACTAGACTTGAATTTACAATAAATTTTTGGCGAATATTTATCATACTCAAGTTTGTAATTTGTGATCAGTTTTGATCATAATCATGAACACCATACCAATTATGTTGTTTTGTATGTACCTCAGAAACGATCGAAGAGACGAAGAAGAGAGATGGTGGAACAGTCCCGAAAAAGACAATAGAAATCGGTAATGATAATATTCATGCTTCACCGATATTTTCTCAATCATGCCTTGATAAATTCGTTATTTATCATTTATGTTTTTCTTTGTATCACAGAAACAATAGAAGAGACGAAGAAGAGAGATGGTGGAACAGTCCCGAAAAAGACAATAGAAATAGGTATCGATTTACGTATGCCTAATCGAAATTTTCCCAATCATGTATTCATAAATTCGTTATTTATCAATTATGTTGTTTTATTTGTACCTCAGAAACAATCGAGGAGACGAAGAAGAGAGAAGGTGGAACAGTCCCGAAAAAGAGGATAGAAATAGGTAATGATAATATGTATGCCTAAACGAAGTTTTTTCAATCATGCCTTTCTGTATTGTTCGATGAATAGCATATTTATATGAAAAATGATAACTGAGTGCTCATATACTCATTTTTGTGTTCTTAATTAGTAGAGTAGTTTTAATGAAGAATCAAATGATAGTAATATTGAAGTCAATAAGTTAGAATGAACTCAATATGCTTGAAATGTTTTAGAAATTGTTTTGACTATTAGACTCTTAACTGTCAATTAGGATCAACTGATAAGTAATGGTTGATATTATTTTAATTGTATATACACAAATGACTTTTCTCTTGATTACTTTTTGAAATAACTATGTCTTCCATTCCCTTCTATGAGAAAAATTGTTCGTTGTATATATGTATATAATGAAGGAGAAAGTAATCAACAGAAATGTAATGGACAGTGGTTTTGGTGGATATTTTAGTAATTTCAATAGTTGAGATCATGGGTCAGTTAAATTTAGATGGCCATGAAAAACCTGGACTCACTGGATAGCTGTTTTATCCCATTATGTAATGATTGATAGCAACATTAATCATTATTCATTTGTATGGTGTTTCAGTTGCTCTATCACACACTCAATAACACCATATCAATTATATTTTTTTACTTATACCATAGAAACAATAGAAGAGACTAAGAAAAGAGATGGTGGAACAGTCCCGAGAAAGACAATAGAAATAGGTAGTAACCTATCAATTGGTAAAATTTTTGAAGCTTATTATGTTCATTAAGTTTTAAGCTTTTACTAAATATAAAGGGACACATTTACTGACAAATGAAATCTTATTGATATAAATGACTACAGACGATTTTTATTATTCAGGAAAATAGTTCAAGGTTAATCTTCTTAAATTGTACTTTGTCACAATTTTACAACATCTTGATTGTGGTATTGATTTACTTTTCAGAGACAGAAGATATTTTGAAAAAGAGAGGAGGAGGAATTCCTAGGAAAATAATAGAAATAGGTAATAAAGTGTATTAATGAGTTCAATATATCCTCAAGCATAGTATAATAATAATTTACTATTTCATTGTATTTTATGACTGACATCTTGACAACAATGTTAAGGATCTTATGAAGTACATGAATTGTCTGTGATCCTCTATTGTCAAAAGCAATAACATAAAGCAAAATATATGATCATATAATAATTTGATTCTTGATTTGTTTATTTGTATGTCAGAGACAGAAGAAACAAAGAAACGACGTGGAACAGCACCAAGAAAGACAATAGAGATAGGTAACGACATGTACTATATAAACAGATCGTTTTTTTTCTAATGAAGATCTCTTTCATCTATTTTCAGTCACATATCAAAATCTTTTGGGGGTTTATTACTCCATATATTTGGAGATAATACACATAGACATCAGTTGTCTTTATTGTCATGTTCATCAGTCAGAATGACATCAGCGAAATTAAATAATTAGAATACATAACTCCAGTTCACATATTCAATGGAATACAATTTAGAGATATTTCTTTTTATTATTAGATGTATTTGTTATTTACTGTGGAAATAAGGCATTACATGTATTGAAGTAATTTAAACCTGATTCTGTCAAAGTTTACCAATACACACTGTCAGTAAATTCCAATGAAATGTGTTCACATCATGCCCACTCTGATCATTTTATTTAATTTTTTTAGAAACGGAAGTGGAAACCACAAAAAGGAAGGGTATACCGATTCCAATCTAAAAATTCACACCCGTATATTTTATCGAATGTTATTTTTCAATAATTTGAGCTGATGTACCAACTCCTATGAGATAAAAACTCTTTATCAGAGATACTACGTCGTTAAAACACAAGAATTCAGTGATTTGACTATTTCCTTCTCTGAGATTATAAACTGATGATATTTAAAGCTCCTTATTTACCGGGCTAATTAATAGATCCCTATATCCTTTGGAACGATATTTTCTTAGTTGAAAGTGATCAACAGAAATATACATTTATGTAGCGGAACTTTTATAACTAAACAATTAACAGAAAATTTATCTTATTTACTATAATTAATGAATGATTTTAGTATTAAAGTGTCGAATTAAGTATGACATTTATTCATTTTTCAGAAACTGTAGTAGAAGGTACGAAGAAAGGAGCCCCACGTAAACCAAGAAGAATAGGAATAGGTAAGATCAAACTTTTATTTAAATTTCTTAATGCTTTTTTCTATCTCCTTTTATGGTTGCTCAACTTGACTCCTAATTGTATTTTTGAGTAATTTTCTTGTTTTATTATATATTACATTGTTTTATGTGTATATAGCTTCTCTCCATGTTGAATGGAGAGATAAATTTTAAAATTGTGGAAATCTTTTCAATCTGTCAATAATTATATTACTAATTTACTATGATTAAATACTAGTCCAGAATATATTTCAAGCTATACAATATGTTCGAGTCCTGTATACGGTATTGTGGATGCGTACTACTGATGAGTCCCATACATGAATGAACTCGCCATCCAGTGTTTCCAGGTTTTCAATGGTAGTCTAGCTTATATCAACTCATGAATTCAACTTGTAAAATCATTTTAATGTGTTTAACATTAGTGTTTGACATAATATTGTATATAATAATTTACTTATTTGGTGCATCGTTTATCTTTTATATTTTCATTTCTTATAGAAACTGTAGTGGAAACAATTAAAAAGGGAGTTCCACGTATTCCAAAACGTAGAATTGGAATAGGTAATCAAATATTTCTCGCATTAGTTTTGTTTCTTTTTCCTCTGAATTTATTCCAATTTGATTTACTATACATCTGATATACATCTGACTGATAATATTTTATTTGAACAAAACCAACTATTCAATTAACAACAGTAATATAATCCATTTCTATTATTATCCACACTGATTGTAATAAATGACTTTCTCATCACTAAAGTGCACTATTATTACATTGTTTCTATGTTTATTTTTCTTTTGTTTGCATATCAGACTGTTATTTTCGTATTGCCTCAATTCACAAGTATTCTAAGCAAAGATGTATAGTGGCTAAGTAGATAACGCGATGACGTTTGAAACGAACGATACTAAGTTCAAGTCCTAGAGTGATTATCAACTCTGAGCTGCAGATACATTCAGCTGACTAGTCCCAAACAGGATAAAATGCAAGTCTTGGATTCTACTGTTAGCCACTATCCATCTTTAATCCTTCGATTGTTCCCATAAAATAATAGTCGCTTTTTTATATGAATGTAAACTGAATTCTAACTAAGAGTTTGTATAAGTTATATACTTCTCTTAACCAATACAACATTAGAAATATTTTGTTATATTGAAATTGTTTCTGTTCATTCCTTTTTTTATTGTTAATTTGTTTTCTTTACACAGAAACTGTAGTGGATACAAGAAAGAGAAAGGAGAGAATAGGTGATGATTCAAGTCATTATTATCATTACCATTACTATTATTATTACGATAATTATCATTACTATTACTACTAGTAATACTATTATTATTATAGTCACTGAACAAATATTAAGATTTATATTTTACTGGAATTCAATTACGTATTGATTTCTATTTGTATGATACTAGTTCTTGATGGAGCTTCGTTCTTTGAGCTGGATAGTTTGGTCGTGGAGCTTTCATCGTTCTTCCAAACGACATCATCAGCAAAAACGTCAGATAGAAGTCTGATGATGTCGTTCAGAAGAACGATGAAAGCTCTACTACCAAACCATTCAGCTCAGAGAACAAAACTCCATCAAAATCATCCACCTGAGCTAAAAATCTTCTCCACCACCTCAATATGATACTAGTACAATTTTTGTTCCTTTATTAAATATGATTCATATAATTAATTGGTTTGTACTGATTATGCATAGATAAGCTGAAAAGAAAAAAGATCAAATGGATACCAGTTAACACGAATAAGCAAATGGATGCAAAGTTATCTATCGCTTCACATCTTTCTTTCTACGAACTAATTCTTTCTTCCTGTAATATATCCTTAGATGCAATCTTTCTTTTATATATTACCACCACTGAATTACCTCATTATATGGGTCCGGTGTTGATCTTGTTGTGTTAATGAGGTATGGTGATTTGGACCAATGTACATATGTACCTGGTCCTGCGTTGTAGCTAACTGACTGACAGAATTTTATTTTGTATGTGGTTATGTAACACTTTTTTTGATATTTTTAGGTAAAGTTGTAGACACAGTCAAAGTTTTATTCCGACCACCGAAACGAAAACCAGTAGTCATGCGTAGAGGTAGTATTTCTTAATATATAATTTTATTTTAAATTATTCATACGAATATGTATGATTTATCGGTGAAACTATAATTTTTGGACGACATTTGAACGATGCCAAAGTGATCTCGAGAGTGTTCATCTAATAACGAGGACCAAATGAGGGTTATCAACTAGCGTGGGGAATTAGAATTATGATTTACAGTTGATAGACAGAGTTAAGAATTAGATTTCGGGTTTTCATCACAAACTGACATCAGCTATGATGTCAAAACTCTATTTATTCAAATGAATGAGTTAATTTTGTGCCAAAATCCAAGAACTGTTATCTCAAGTCTGATTGGTTCGTCCATATATATTATAGTCTCACCGATTTATCTCTTAAAATGAATTTTTTTACTTTTAAAGAAAATAAGCACACTGAGAAATTTTGAATTTCGGTATTTTATTAGTAGATTTTTTGATAAATAATCATCCTCTAATGTTTCATATGTGATCTCAATGATACAACAACAAAAGGTAAGCATAAATACACTGAGATCCAATTTTCCTCATAGTTTAATCTAGGATAATACGGCACAACTTCTAAATTACTAATACTGAATGATTACAGCCTAGTTAAGCGCCTGGTGCGGGACTGATATGTCCTGCATTCGAATCCTGTGAAGCGGGGTCGTGGATGCGCACTGCTGAGGAGCCCCACAATAGGATGAAACGGTCATCCAGTGCTTCCAGGTTTTCCATGATGGTCTAGCTTCAATTGCCTCATGATCTCAAATATTGAGATTACTACAATCTCCACAAAACCCCTTCTGATACTTATATATATTTGTTGATTTTCAATCAATTTAGGAAGCTCTAATAACTTTCTTAAAATACAAAGAATTGGTTTACAAAACCGGTTATTTTGAAATATAATTCACAATGGAACAGGAGTCAAACTACTGCGGACAAACATTCGACAGGAAGAAAATGTGGAAATTTTAGATAGAGGCAATTCCAAAAAGACCAGATAATTTTTAGAAGCTTGGCACTCAGGTCAATCAGTAATCAACAAGCACGTTGAAATCGATCCAATTAATCAACCAATCAGGAAAATTATTGACAAATATTGGACCAAAAATCAAACTGATGGGAGATACAACCACGGCAAAGAAGTAAACAATGACAAGTTTAAGATCAACAAGAACCAATCAACATCGAAGTCTACAGGATAAGCTGTGAACGACATGTGGAGAGATTCGAACATTTCACTTCTATCTGAAGTTTATGCTGATGATGTCGTTTGGAAGAACGATGAAAGCTCCACGACCAAACTATCCAGCTCAGAGAACAAAACTCCATTAGAACCTTAATGTAATAAGTAGAAACTAAGCCCTTCAATGTTACTGACTCGTTTTTACTCATCACTAATGTAAGTAACTTAAATCTCTACAAAACTATAAAATACAGAGCCAAAATCGAAAACTTACACATAAATTAACAAGATGAGCAAGCTATTGTTAATAGAA